AAGTATCTATCATTTTGACGATAGTGGTCCTGACAGAATTATACTTAATTAAAAGTAAAATTTAAAATAAAACCATTAAAATACATTTTCATTACTTAAAACAAAATAAATGTTAACTGGAATCAATTTTAGAAAATATAAAATAATTATAATAAATAATAATATAAATAAATAAAAAATATATTTTTAATTTCAACTAGTTGCCAAGGCAGCATTTTTATTTTGCTTTAGTTTAACTAAATGTGATTAAATTGACTAAAACCAAAATAAAATAAAAATGAATAACTATATAAACATATTGGAAATAAAACAAAAAATATCAAAAGCACACAACAAAATTACTAAATTTTAAAAACTGGCTTTAGAATAAATATGGTATATGACATTTTTAAAAATCTAAATATGAATAAAAATTATAGTAGTACCTCAGTGATACACTAAAACCGTTGTCTTTGGAGTCTAAATGTTATATTGAATATTAAATTTAATATTAAACTGAAACTTCATTGTGGTGTGGCTTGAAAGCACTAATCCACTATATTTCTTCATGACTCTTCAAAATTCCTGTTTAAAGCTTATTAACTAAAGAAGAAAATCTTGCTAAATTCAATCTTTGATATAATAACAATTCATTATCAAGCCGCTCTTACTCACATCAGATCAGATTATTCCTGGCGAACGGACTATTTTTCCTCTTCATCCAGAGCAGAACGCAGGTGTTGATGCAGGTGCTGCAGGAGAAACACAAGACTGCTCTGTTCACTGTGAGGGAAAGAAAAAACTACGCTCACTGTACAGGTCTCAAACAGGCACTTTGACACTAAATTCAGCTGATCATGTTTCCAGAAGCATGTGCATTCTGCTATTTAAATCCAAACATTACCAGTAAGTATGCTTTGTCATAATGCTTCTCCTCCTGAATGCTGAATGCTGGTGGTCCAGGCTCAGGATGAATAGCACATCTGTTATTTAGACTCTTCCACATCCTCTGAGCACTGGAACAACAGAGCCTTTGAAATCCTACTTTAAACACCATAACCCTCTCAACCCACAGGTGGCGCTAATTTGCAAGACATTCTGCTCATTTGGAGTCGACCAGACATTTATTTTGGTTTATTTATGGTTTTGTTATAAAATATGTGTAATCCACGTGGGCAGATTTAGTTGTTTATTAACTTGAATGTTATGTTATATTATTATATGTTTAATTTTCAGTTTTTTATATACATTATTTAATATATTTTTTATAATGTTGTGTTGTTGTGCATTTAAAAATGTATATATCTATGAAATTAACACATTATTATATATTATATGGTATAAGTATTTGGACATATTTTGGGTAATAGTAATTATATTATATTATGATATTATAAAATTGTAACATTTTTAAAATGTTATATGTTACTTTCTGTTTTATATATATATATATATATATATATATGTTTTTTTTACAGTTCTCCATAATATATTTCATATTTAAATTTGTATTTATTTATGAACACATATTTATATTTATCCAACTAAATCATCAAATTTTAAAGCATGTAATTTAATAAACAATTTGTTTAACCCATTTTACAATCCTTATTGCTCTCTTTTGTAACATATATATTGAATTTATATTGATATGACCCCACACCTGCACACAATAAGTAATGTATGTGCACTATACAATATATTTAATGTTTTTTAGTTCAGAATATGTTCTATTTAATATCGCAATGAATTTAGACATTTATGATTTATATGTGCTTTCCAGCATAATTTATGATCTATTATAACACCCAGAAATTAATTTTCTATTTCCTCATTATCAATCCTAATTTTAGCTTTGTTATTACTTTGTCGATTGTTAAATATTATGAACTTTTTTTTCCTTAAATTCAATGAAAGTCTGTTATCATCAAACCATTTTTTAAAGACCATCAGTTCAATTTACATTTTTAATATTTTAGACACGTTACAAATATGATTTATTTACAGTACAAACAATATGGTGCCTAGCACCGAACCTTGTGGAACACCACAAGTGACTTTCATTAGATCTGATTTAATATTATTTATTTGTACAAATTGATATTTGTCATCAAGGTAACTTTTTAACCATTACACCATATCTTTCCAGTTTCATCACTAATAAGCCATAATAAATTGTCACAGTATTCATTCATCTACAGTTCCATCACTGCCACTGAGGTCGACCTATTTGCTCTAAAGCCATACTGATGTCCACCCAATAGTTTCTGTTTACCTATAAAATTATCAAGTAATTTCTCTACATTTTTGAGAACTGGGAAAGCAGAGAAACGGGTCTGTAATCGGAAAAAAGACGTCTATCTCCCCACCTATGTGTATTACATATATTATTAAAGGCAGCTAGGAAGATAATCGCTGTGAACTGGTTGAAGATGCA